ATGATATTTTGCAGGATTTAATGTTTTTTAAAAGCTATTTTCCCCCACAGAGAAGTAAAATAAACTGACCTATATAAGGAACGATATAATTATATTTTTGAAATTATAATATATCTTAATTCACTGAATGTTTTTTTTAAAGACTGCAGGGTGGCTAAACTGAAGATTCGACCTCCATTAACACACTGTATGTCAGAATAAAAGAGTTTCTTCACAGACTTGCCTAACCTTGTTTGGGTATTACTGGAAAAATATTCTGAAAAAACGCAGATTATTGAGAGAATCATGATATTAATACTCAAATTCCTCTAGATGAGTACGAACCTTTTCCATTGGAAAATTCTCTGTTTCACCCCCAAGGTACCCTCTGGAGTTCTTTCAGATTGGCATGCCTCAGACTTCGAAGTACAAAATTTCCTAAGCGGGATAATCCGAGGAGTTTAATTCTAGAGACCTCGTCGTCCATTTTAAATAAAGGCAGGAACGTTCGCTCTTACTTTTTATAGCCCGTGCCTCGTGTGCTGTAGGAAAATCTCTTCTAAATCTAGTTATCTCCAAGCAATGAAGTTCTGATACATCACATTGGTAGTTTTCTTTTTTTTTTGGTCGGTCAAACTCATTTCGGCATTTTGTCTTCTATCGTGGGTTTGTTTACAAACAAATTGTTCTGATTTTATTTGTCTGCCTAACCGTATTCTTAAAGGAACTATGCCATCATCAGAAGAAGAAGAGGTCACTTTGAGCTTTGACGTTTTCCTCAGATGGGTTTTAGACAAACTGGTTAATATACAACGAATATATTTATGCTGTAATAAATGTATTGATTCGTTGTAAAAGATTTCTTTTTGATATCTACGATGCGATGACCTGCAATTTGTTAAGGATCTTAATTTTTTCTTCCTCTAACGAGTTTATTAAGGAACGAGAAGTTGGACCTTCTTTATTTTTTTAGCAGAAAACAAAATAAACACAAAACTATCACGGAAGATTGATGAAATTAACTAAAAGCGTCTTACCACAAAACATTGACTATAGGGCACCACCAAATTACGCCTGTTTGTGTATATTTTTTTTAATGTTTAAATTTTGGTCTCTCGTACAAAATAATTTTCCGTTAACACCCAAAAAAATTAGCCAAAGGGGCTTTCTATTAAATGCGCATTTATCAAGAAGGGAGTCGAAGTTGTAATCTTTCGATTTTCACTAATGGAAGTGTACTCCATGTCGTCCCCATGGATGTCGTCGCTATCTCGGCTGAGATTTCCTCCGGAGGAGGTGAGTCATCCGCAGATAAGTAGAAAACCTTTTGAGGACGGAAAAGTCCCCCATTCTACTTCTCGATAATGAAAGATCGATCCTCGTTACAGTGGATTCCAGAGGGGCGACGTCTCAAATGCATCTTAATAAAGTATTTACCAAGGGTCGTACTGGATGACTGGCCACTTCCTTAAAATAAAATTGTTACTTTCTGACAACTTGTAACAGAATAATACTAACAGAAAAATGGTCATGCTTATATTCATGAGATACCCCACTTTGTATATTGTATGACATGAACAGTGAAAATAAACAATGAATTCCTCGTCGGACCCACCAAACATGGAAGTCGGGTTTTGATGTGTTTTATCGAGCAAGTTTATGTCTTAAACTCCATTTTTCAACGCCAGTTATGAGATTAATTTTCGTGTCATTTAAAAACCCAATGGGAGATGTGGATGCAACTCCAATTTATGGGAAGACCCATTCTCCCATGGAACTGATTTATCCAGTTCAACAAACCAAGTAGTTTCAGGTGATCATGGACTGTTCACTTTGACAAATCCAGTTGCGATTTTCCTTATTGTTATGTACAGGATTGGTTCAACTAGTGTCCTAATTTTAATTTCATTGGCTTAAACTTGCTGGCTTCAAGAGGACGTCCACAACGTGGAATTCAGGTATATAAATTGAACGAATACTTTTTTGGCGCTGGTGCTCTGTTAGCACGACCTTCCCGTACACGCCCAACTTTTTCTGCCGAAAAATTTTCGAGTCTCCATTTTTGTAAAGATATTAAAAAAAACCTATTGCATGAAGAGAATTTTTTCAGAAAACAAATATTAGCTATCAAAAAACATAAATAAATAAAAATAATAATGATAGATATAAATTTTTCTTTCTTTTTTTTGAAACAAACGAACATACCTGACATAATACAAACCATCTACAAAAATATCTAAATACGAACAAAATTTTTATAAATCTAATGACAATATATATATAACTCCGCATTTTCACGTTTTGTGAAAAAAGTAGAATATGCCGAAAACTTTTCGAGTCTCCATTTCTGTAAAGATATTTAAAAAAAAAACTATTGCATGAAGAGAATTTTTACAGAAAACAATATTAGCTACGAAAAATATAAATAAATAAAAATAATAATGATAGATATAAATTTTTCTTTCTTTTTTTGAAACAAACGAAGTACCTGATATAGTACAAACCATCTACAAAAATATGTAAATATGAACAAAAATTTTATAAATCTAATAACAATATATATTAATCTCTTTCCATAAATACTCATTTTATGTGTATTTGTTTAAATAATTCCATGCTTTTATCTGTCTGTTTTCTTTATTAATAAAAAAAACTGACAAAATTAAACGAATACACTTGCAAAATTCTAAAACTTAATTCTTGCGGTTATTAGATTTAAAATAAGCATATCCTTTGCTACATGTTATAGAATTTGAGTTTTTAAAGAAACATTATTTGAAAAAAAATTGTATGCTCTGGTCGACCTAAAATGCTCGTTTAAACGTAGTATGAAAGAAAAGAAAATGATTGAGTTCGCGCAATACCCTGGGCCGATAAAGTAGGGCAAAGCATAAAACAGAGAGAACTCAGGAAAATATAGACTCGCATGCGTTTGTCTAACGGAATCGAAGAGAACATGTCGCAGAGCTGGTATAGAATAAAATATTGAGATTATCCCCCATCAACCAAATGATAATGAGGACAGCACAGGAAACTATTATGAGCATCATCAAAGGGAACCTCCAACTGGATTACAACTAAAATGGGTAATAGCAATATTGTAACGAAAGAATATCCGATACTCATGGCTCCACGAGACGAAATACACGGGGTGTCCGAGTTCAAACGAAATGTCTAACAAACGTAAGTACAAATAAATAATGGTAAAGAGGAAAAAACCCCTCTGTTGAGAATGGTACCATCTGCTGGTACACTGATGGATTTGGAACACAACGTACGGGGTTGGAGTATTCGGACCTGGAACCAAATACTCAGAAAAGATGGGAAAATACACCAGTACCTTCCAGATTTGAAGTCCATGCAATTGAGAGCTGTACCCAGTTCAATCTGTACAAAGGGTATAAAGACAAGGATGTAGTTATCATGTCAGATAGCCAAGCGGCTATCATAACATCATTAGTTCAAAAATGGCGCTGAACTTCAAAACAAAACTAAACAGATTAGGTATGCAAAACAGTCACCCTCTGCTGGGTCCCAGGGCACATGGGAGTAGACGGCAATGAGAAATCGGACGCCCTTACAAGGAAAGAAGCCAATACGACCTGTGGCCTTCTGTGGCTAGTGTTTCACACTATCGATGTATTCCTTAGAAAAACGGACAAAACGAAAATGAGAAAAGAGTGAAATTCACTCATTGGTAATAAACAATCCAAGAACCTTTTTGACAATTTTTAAAGGGAAGAAACAATAATATGCATCAGAGGAAGCAGACAAAACTGCGAATCTTAACAGGACACTGCAGACTGAATGGGCACCTGAGGAAGATTGGTATAACAGAACGTGGCATGTGCAGATTCTGGAAAGAAGCATAGGAAACCCCAACTCACCTAATAACAGACTGAGGTGCCACATTCCCCTGCAGGAGAAAGTGTTTTTGGATGTACTATAACCGTAGAAAATGTCCGAACACTGACAACAGCTCTTTAAGGACGCAATATACTATACACCCCGACTAAATGCATCTACATAGTTAAGTTTAAAAAGTAGTGCCACGAGGAGGACTCGAACCAACCACATCCGAGGTACTCATCCGGATCGTGGGTTCGAGTCCCGCTCGTGACAATAATTTTTGTACTCAACCATACTTTGCATAATAATTAAATAAATAATGTTTATTGTATCATTTTATTTATTTATTAACAATGTTATCTACTTATAAATTTTTTTTTAAATTTTTTTTACGAGGGTTCGCAACAGCAGAGGTTATATCAACCCTCGGGGTGCCGGTATTTTTGAAAAAAAACAACAAAACAAAACAACAACCCATTTGTAAGTATGTCGAGTTCGAATGAAGGGCCGCTGTATTTGAACCCGGGACCTTTACCTTACAGTGACGAGCGGCGTGTCAACGCGTAAACGGTTGCGGCCACCGACGCCCCCTACTTATAAAATTAATAGTAATTACAACACTTACCAATATGTCACCACAAGAATAGCACTACACTTTATGCCCTGAAGATGATCCGAATAAAGGTCGAAACGTCGGCAAAAAAATGAAAAAGGTCTTTTTCTAAACTGTCTCATTCTTGACCGCTCCTCACGACTTCAACAAATTTATGGACCAATAGGCTTCTAAGAAACACACAGTGTTATTTATTTGAATATATTAATGCTAATTAAAATCTACACTTTCAATGTAGTCAATTTTTCAACTGCTTGAACAAGTGCAACTGATTGGGCACTGGCATCAAAAATTTTTTTTAAACTAACAGCTAACGAAAACTATTTTTTCGTTATTTAAATCATTAAAAAATTTCTTTGGAAAATAATATTGCCCTATCAAGGGTTATGTTTTACCGCGCCGGATGTAATAAAAATGAATAAAAAATAACCAACAGTAAGGCTGTAACTTTTTAAATTTAATATTGTTCTTATCGTTATAGTTAGTTCTATTTGGAGGCTGGTTTCTGTTTTGGAAGCATGGAAAGGAAGCGTGTTCAAAATAATTAGGTAGTTAAAAGTTAGAAAACAAAAAGGCATTGAATATTTTATTTATAGTCTTGAAATATTGCCCAGATGGGCCCCATTTACCGGGTACTGGATCATCGGTAGTGACAACCGTTGAAAAACCCCCTTACACCCCAGCGAAGTGCACATGGGAGACAAATTACAGACTGTGAGATCACCACGTGTACAGCAGTGTTCGTCGACGCCTTTTCAAATTATATCGTTTTAACTGACGGACAGCCGACCCTGTTTTATACGAGTCATTTCAAGTAGAAATATCGATATTCTCGCTTCGATTAACAACATCCCTTAGGGCGAATTCCCCGTTAGCCCGCTTGTATCGTCACAATTGTCCCGTCCCTCTGTACATCTTGAAATCCTTTTTCAAATTAAAAATTGGTTTGAATAAACAAATTCGAACTATAAATACTTGTTTTGACACAACTTATCGTTGTGTATATATACACACACAATCGTATATAATTTATTTAAAGAGTATTGTAAATAATTTAAAACTAGTTTGAATAATTTAAAATGGCAGTTCATGGAATTAATTAGTAATTAAGTCTTTCGCCTCCGTGTATGCCAGTCGCCCCTGCGCTGCCAGTAGCTTCTACATCTGTCTTTCTGGACCTGGCACGATTTCCTGTAAACAAAACAAAATTTAATTTGCAAGAAAAACAACATTTGCCTAATGTAGGTATAAAGGTTTAAATTGACAACAATTTCTAAATTGGAAAAAAATTATCAATTTTTTCGAACTTTAATTCTTTTCCATAAACTATACATCATATTTAAAATTCGTTAGACATAACACTTCTAACCCATCTGCTTAATGATTCTAAATATTAATTATAAAAATTGGATCATAGCATTCCAAAGAAAGTGTACCTTTACGCATTAAAATTTGATTTTTCAGTATAGGCAAAAGCACAAAAAAAGGCTTAATTTTCGCGGCAATTTTGTCGGTATGACGTTTCAATAGTATTATGTCTTAAGCTCTTTTTGATGGTATAGACTGTTCAAAATAACTAACTATTGATTTCTCGATAAATTGTCACTAGAGCTCAGTTTTCCTTTAATTTTCATTTTAAATTGAGCATTTTTTCAATTTTTTCTTGTGGGTGGACGACTTATAAAATATCTAAAAAACTGTTTACCAGACAAAAATCTTATAAATAAAGTACTACAGCTAAAAGGAGGTTTTAGGTTGTAATACGTGCGAGAAACCTATTGATGAACGATCATATTGTACTCTGAAGCTTTTTTAATATTTATTATAATCATTATGTGGTATTTAGTGACCGTTAATTAACGATTATTTGGAGATCATGAGTTGCAGTCTGGTGTGACGTATGTTTAGAAAAACATTTTCTTTATTATTCAGAAATCGTGAGATGCGGTCTGGTGTGATGTAGGTTTCAGACAAACATTTTCTTTATCGTGTCAACGTTTCGATCTTTATTGAGATCATCTTCAGGACTCAAAGTGTTTGTCTTCTGGGTAATTGTGCCTTTCTTACGTTGAGCACTCTCTACACGACACGCAAGAATAGCTCAATTACACAGAAGACATATACTTTGAGCCCTGAAGATGATCTCAATAAAGATCGAAACGTTGGCACGATAAAGAAAATGTTTGTCTGAAACCTACATCACACCAGACCGCATCTCACGATTTCTGAATAATTATCGATAAACGGTCACTAATCACCGCACATTTTCTTTATTAATTATTTATTTATTTATTATGAACGTGCCAACGTTTCGATCTTTATTGATTTCATCTTCCTGGGATTTATAAACATTGTTTAAAATATACAACATGTAGGATGTGAAAAAATGAATTATACAATGATAGAAAAACATTTTAAGAAAAGAAAATGTTTTTCTAAACCTACGTCACACCAGTCCGCATCTTACGATCTGCAAATAATCATTATAATCAATATGAAATGAATTTGTATACTTACGACTCTATATATTTATTTGTAATTTTATTTATATTTTGTAAATAATTGTATAATTTTGTGTAAATTTATAGTTGTTTTATCAATTTTATTTCTTCAATTAAGTTTTAAATTTGTTTTTTTCCGTATCCTTAAAAAATTCAAAATGAGTTCGAATAGAAAACGAAAAGAAATAAAATACGCAAATGGCCTGTTGCTCCTTAAGAAAATGTTGATACTTGTTTTTCAGGAGCAATGAAAGCCAATTTAATAATTTAAAAAAGATTAATCCTTGGTAAATTGTTTTGAAAACAATCCTCGATGCAGGAAAGCCTGAATTATTTTTTATTCTTTGTCTTTTATTCTTTCATTTTAATGTTGTCTCTCATTAGAGAATGCAAGACGAACGTTATTGATATCCCGCTCGTGCCATTGACTTTTTGATCTCAACTGAAAACCTTAATTAATTGTAAGATAATAATCGGTCAAGCAGACCACAAAACTAATGAATTTAATAAGTTTAAAATGAAGTATACTTCACTAAAGCTCTCCGTGGCCATTTCATTTGTCGCCGAGAATCAAATTGATTTCACGACATTTGAAAAATGGCAAAAAGGAGGGAAAATTCAAAAGGTGTGGTTGAGGTGGGAGGTTGGTGTCCGAGTGGATCGAGGTCACGATAGCTCAAGTGGTAGAGCAGCGGTGTATCAAGCCGAAGATAGTGGGTTCGAATCCCGCTCGTGCCGTTGACTTTTTTAACTGAACTGAAAACCTTAATTAATTGTAAGATATTAATTGGTCAAGCAGACCACGAAACTAGTGAAGTTATTGATATTAATTAATCTTTATGTAAGGTATTGGCTGAAATGAAAATGTGAATGTCACGAGCGGGATTCGAACCTACGACCTTCGGCTCAATACGCCGCTACTCTAACCACTTGCTTGTCATCATTGTTCAAGTGGTTAGAGTAGCGGAGTATTGAGCCGAAGGTCGTGGGTTTGAATTCCCCTCGTGACAATAACTTTTTCATTTGAACCAATACCTCACATAAAGATTAATTAATTGAAAAAAGTTATTTGGCCAATTGGACTACGAAATATAATAGATTATTGATATTACACGCTCTCTTCATTTGTGCACTTTTTTGCATCCAATTCCATATGCAAGTTTATGAATGGTCGCCAAACAGTTTAGTTAACAAAAATTTCGTGAAAATGACCATTCAGTTAATACTTTTTATATTCGCCTCTTCCAAGCTATGAAAGATAACATCAATATTTAAAAAAAATTTAATCTCTGATTTGTTTTCTGAAAACACTATTGGATGCCGAAAAGCATGAAAATGCTGTACAAATATCTAGTAAAATATATGTTTAGACTTCCTTTCTTTAATATAATTATAAACAACAAAAACAAGTCGTAAAAAATATTTTTGCATTATTGTCATAAAAACCACAAACATAACATAGCCATAATTAACTAAAAATAATTGTAAATTAACAATTAAAGTCGGCTGTATAGGTACTCTAGAGGAATTGTTCAGGGCTATATACCTTAATTTTGTTAAATGGTAAAAAAAGGACAACAGATTCGGGAATAGACCCTCAAGCTAATTGTGACATGCATAATGCATTGAGTAAACATTTGATTACAGCTTTAGGAGAATTTATAAGGGCTATAGTTAGTTTATAAACAAATCAAAGTCATCTTTATTTAAATGTTTTAAATATAGTTTTTTTTTCAGTTACAGTATTATTAATTGTAGTTTCTTCCGTCTAGAGAAAGACGTAGAGGTTTTGTAAATTTCCAAAATATTTTACCACTCAAATGTTAAATACAACGCATTTTAACAAAATTTTAAAATACTTTGCAGTCATAAAGTAAATCAATCCCTACGACCCTCATTGTTTGTAATTAAATTAAATTAACTCTTTGTTCAATTTGATCTCAATTAGCAGTAATTTATTGCGTAGTGCTAAACTAGTATTGGGTTGTCCGGAAAATAATGCAGGATTTTAAGTTTTCATTAAAAAAAATCTATATAAAATATTCTGTTTACGTTTACAGGATTACTCATTTGTATGAATGTCAACACTTATTAATCCTCTTCCAAATGATATTGTTTGTTTACCTCTGTAGCATTCCGCTACTTGGAAATAATTCAGTCATCCTTATAATGTCAAAGCGAGAATTTCGTACGATTTTCTTTTACGAGTTTAAACTCGGCCGAAGCGGAGCCCAAACGGCTAGAAACATTAACCAAGTCTGGGGCGAGGGTTGTGTTAATGAGTGCACTGTGCAAAGGTGGTTTAAAAAATTTCGGGAGGGAGATTTCAGCCTTGAAGATGAAGAAGGTCGTGGAAGGCCTTCCTCTCTTAATGATGATGTTCTGCGATCAGTGGTGGAAGAAAACCCCAAAACAACTGTTCCAGAACTTGCAGAGCAACTCAAAGTCAGTAAAACGACCGTCGCTGACCACCTCAAGGCGATTGGAAAAGTGAAAAAACTCGAAAATTGGGTTCCACACTCATTAAACGATCGCCAAAAAATCAGCGCTTTGATGTTTGTGCATCACTTCTTTGTCGAAACAAAAATGACCCATTTCTGGCCAGAATTGTTACATGTGACGAAAAGTGGATTCTCTACGATAACACTAGACGTTCTGGACAGTGGCTCGACAAAGGAGAAGCTCCAAAGCCCCCAACTCATCAAAAAAAGGTAATGGTTACGGTATGGTGGGCTTCATTTGGTTTAATACACTACAGCTTCTTAAATCCTGGCGAAACCATCAATGCTGAATCATACTGTAACCAAATTAATACCATGCATCAGAAATTGGCAGTAATGAAGCCCTCTTTGGTCAATCGGAAAGGGCCCATTTTGTTGCATGACAACGCTCGACCACATGTGTCACGTGTAACGTCACAAAAATTATTGGAGCTTGGCTATGAAACTTTGCCTCACCCACCCTACTCTCCGGACCTCTCGCCTACTGACTACCATTTTTTTAGACACCTGGACCACTACTTACAACACATAATATTCAAAAATCAAACGGAACTGGAAAATGCATTTATTGACTTTATCAATTCTAAAAATTCTGAATTCTACTCAGACGGAATTAATAAGTTACCAACACGTTGTATTTTGATTAAAGAACATTGCTTTAAAGTAACTAGTTTCTTTTTTTTTGTTTAATACCAAAATCCTGCATTATTTTCCGGACAACCCAATAGTAACCCGATAGTTTCCGTCCCTTTCTAATCTTCTGACAAAACTTAATAATAAATCATTTATTAATATACCAGAAGTCGTGTACTTAATTTAAAAAGTTTTTACTTTTACATTCATAGGAGAAGTCTTATTGTTAGTTTTATTAGCTAATACGATCGTCCGATAATTTAAAGAACAATAATGGTAACACTTAGTCTCTAGTAATGACAATTATCTATACTAAACATAAATATGTTTTTGAAAAGAATTAGATGTGAAAACGTTAATTATATTTAGGCACTTTGTTGTTAATTGTCATAGATAACAAATATAATTTTGAAATATCTGTTCGTATAACTTTAATTAAACTAATATACATGTACGTATAATTATAGATAGTATACCAAATATTTCAACACATGACGTATGCCTTTGTGTGGTCTGCTGGATGATGAAACCGAAATTGGTCGTAAATTCAGGCGGTTCACGCACGGTGTATTAGATCACTGTAGCCCCCTCGCACATGGTGTATCGGACGAAAGCAGGAAGTGTACAGCATGAGAAAATGCGTAGATACTTCTTACTGCATCCCATTAATGGCCGTCGGCCGAGGGAGAAGAAAGGTGAATTGAATTGGTATGGTCCATTTACATAACCTCTCCTGCGCAGCCGTTTGCTTCGGGGGACCGAACTAAAGTAGGCAACACACCAGTTTATCCGGTAAAGAGTAGCGAGTGGTAGTAGCCTGGAGCTCATGGCTCTTTCAGCTATGGAGTGGGCACAACCCGAAAGGGGCTTGCGAATCGTCGGAACCATTCGTCTTTAAGGAAAGGGGCGACTTGAAGCCAGTCATGGGCGATACCCTCTTTCCTAAAAGAATAAGGGATACGATCACGATAAGAGGGTAAATAGGAATAACCCGTGGTATGGAGCGCAACCTGAAAAGGTGAGCTTCATTTCACGGGCAATACCTTCTCAGTTGTTTGCGTTCTATGATTACTTTACTGTCCCAACCAATGGTTACAGAGGGGGAGGTTAAAAGCAAAAATAATATTGTAGCCCGGATAGCGTGATCAACTTTTTAAAGCTCAAGATGTCTGTGTATACTGGCGCATGAAATCGTCAGTGGACCCACACAGGGTGGACTATCAGTCTCAGATGGATCAGTAAACCAGCTCCTGTCTGAAAATCGGGAGACGGACAATGACAGATTCAACTACTGGTACAAGCATTTTCCAAAACCATAGGTTATGCTACTGGGTTTGGATTTGTATTAGTTGATTGCCTAGACTAGAAGAGAGTACTTTGAATCATGCCACTTAAAATGAAAGCGTGTTGTTCGGAAGTTCTTAGTTGGAAGGCCTCTGCACTCGGGGGTGATGGAAGGACCCGGCCCATTCTATCGTCGCGTGTACGTCGGGAGGTTTGGACGCTGATCAGACGGTCCAGCCCGTTGGAAGGGTTAGTGGGGAAGAAACTCGTTTTCATCCTAAGGAATTGATACGTTTTTCTACTTGTGAACTTACGATAATAGCACAATTTTCTCCAGATCAGGAATGCGAATAAACAAACGTCAGATAAGGCCACGGCGCGGCAGAAAAAACCTCAATGTCTCTCAGGTCGAGCGACCCTTACAGGGAACTGATTTCGAGTTTGGTCATTTTAATTATCCAATGAATTAGGCAGATCAAAGTGATCAGTAACGACTATTTATTATAATATTTTTATATAATTTTGGTCATAATTAATTACCTGTTCGCGCTCCGCCAAAGATAATTTTTTCGAATGTCACTAGAGGAGATTCAAGCAAAAGAGATAGAGCCGTTGAGCAGATTATTACTATGAACATATCTCCAAAGAATCCATGAATCTGTTGAACAAATTAACTGTAACAACCGCTAAACCGTACATCACTATGTTCGTTACCTGTGCGTAGTCTGTGTAGTAATTCGGCGACCTGATAGAACCGATTCCGTACAGGATAACGGCGACGTGAGTCAAGTAAATGCAGTACGTCAGCCGTCCTATCGGGGCGAAAACATTCCAAGAAAGAAAGGCATTTATCGGACCTAAAAGTTTGAACGAAAAAATTAACACTGTCATTTATTTAGGTCTTGTCGGTCATGTTCTTACCGGCATAGTTGTTAACGCAAGCGATTATGATCCACATCAGCCCTATCGCCCAGAAAAACCTGTAGAAACCGATGTAAAAGGCAGATTCGATTTTGTTGTAAGGATGGTCCAGTTGGATTATCTGGTATCCTCCGTAAACCGCGTAAAGCATCGAGGCGATCGTAAGCAGCCACAATACAGACCCACCTAGCTGAAATTTTCCTGATTATTATTACATTAAATTATACATATGATAAGAAATCGTACCAAATTCATTTTAAATTGGATCTTCTTTTGTTTCATCTCGTATAGAAGATATCCTGTGAGAATACCAATTACGTACGATACAGTTTTTGTGTGTGTGGGCAGGTAAATCTCGGACATGACAAAGTTCTGGACTGTCGCACTGTTGAAAATTGAAAATTAAATTAACATTCGCGCCTGGGAAAAGAAATGTAGAATTACTTAGTGGAAATCGGAATTGGAGCGACTATCTCCTCAAAATAAGAGATGGAGAAAGGCGAGGCTATTGAAGCTATGACAAGTATGACTATTTCGACGTATCCAAACCATGGCCACCTCCAAAGTGGGTAGAGTACGAAAGGTGAAAGCCAGTACATCTGCATATCTGCAGCTAAATACCAAGACTGCATCATACACTGGAATGAAAAAATATATTTAAATCCATTAGATTTCGTGTTCCGATTGACACAAATAAACTCTTTCAATTAATTAATCTTTATGTATATATTATGCAGGGTGGGCCACCAAGACCCGAGGGGTTAAATGCCTGGGTAGACTCGTACCCCATCCCCAATACCTCGTACCTCCCATCTCAACCCACCTTTTGAATTTTCCTTCCTTTTTGCCAAAATTCAAAAGGTGGGTTGAGATGGGAGGTACGAGGTATAAAAGGTAAGGTAGGAGGGAGGTGGTGTCCGAGTGGATCAAAATTAGGATAGCTTAAATAGTAGAGCCGCGGCGTATTTAGCCGAAGGTCGTGGGTTCGAATCCCGCTCGTGACACTGATTTTTTTTATCTCAACCAATACCATAAAGATTAATTAATTGAAATATATTTAAAATTATTAAGGCCATTAAAATGAATAAAAAATCACACACATCAATGAACAGTTTTATCAAATAACATTAAAAAAAAAACATACACTAGTTATAAATTACAAAACGATTGTCCAACACTTGAATTAAAAGCCCATAAGTCGCTTAATAGTTTTTAATCTTCAATAAACATAAACATATTTTTAGAATGTTTATGTTGGTGGTGACCTTACAGGTCAGGGGATTAAAAGACCCTCCCTGGAATAGCACTATCAGCTTCCGGCTGGCTTTTGTATCCAGGGATGAAAGAAATTACCATAAAAGTTTTTTTACGGTCTTGAGTAAATTCTGAAATAGCACTTTTTTTAAACGCAAGCATCATCACGGTTATTCCAATTAATTTTGATTACAGTTTTTTTAAAAGAAGAATCTGTACTTTCTGTTTAAGCATAAAACAGAATATCGTACCTTATTTGAGCAAATTTTCAAGCCATTTAATTTTTTAGGAGCCAAGTTACCGTTTTTTGGTAACGTTACCTTAAAAACTAATTTGTCTATTAGAGCCAAAGTTCTTGTTTCATTTTTCTTACTACACTACGAATACCTAAGTTTAAAAAAGTAAATCGTTACGTTTTGGTAACAACCTAAAATGGTGCCAAAATGTGACACCTTTTTTTTAAAATTAAAAAATCAAAAAATATATACACTGCTCATAGACGCGTTTTGAAAGCATCGCTTGCTATGATTTGCTTATGATTGTTCTACATAATAAAAAATATAGTTTCAGTATGATGAAGGGTTTGGAAGAAAAGTGAACAAATACAAAGTTTGTTTCTGACGCTGCCCAATAGACACAACAAAAACCTAAGACGCCGAATTTTTTGCAGTATGGAGTCGATAGACGGTTTAGTTGGGAGGATTGTTTTTTATGCAGAATATAGATAAAATACAAGTCTTGGAATATAGTAAGAGATGGCGAATTGCAAGTTCATCAAGCTAAGATTTATTTCAGAATGGGTCTACACAAAGCAAAAGGAGAAATGGGATAAATCTAGAGGTGTCAGTCATGGTTAAGGCCAAAACTCAATGGAATGATAGGGTCAGAAAACACTTACATTACATTGGTATATATATATATATATATATATATATATATATATATATATATATATATATATATATATATATATATATTCACCGATGACCCCCCACTTGTAGGTCATGAAGAATATTATCTTCGAATGCGAGGCAACTACTCTATGGAGACCTAGCCTTAGGTACCAAGTAGACCGGGAATAGGAGATGCAGCAATGCTACCTCTTAAGAAACCTATCAAGTCAATTGAACTGAATAGGAACAGGAGAAAGTACAATGGGCCAAATGGCTGTAGTTCTTTGGAATACAATATCACCTCTTCTTACTACTTTTCTCATCATCATCAACACTGTCAACATAATCAACTTTTTAAGATTTTACCAAGTGCATTTTTGCTTAAAGGCAAAATCGTGTGGAATTCACTTTTCTGTTATAACTATCGAATAAGGTTAAAACTACCAATAGACTAGGACGGTAATAAAAATATATTAAATTATTTCATTGCAAGAATCATCTTCATCATCTTTTTAATTGATTATTTGGAGAACGTCAGATGCGGTCTGGTGTGACGTAGGTTTTAGAAAAACATTTTCTTTATCTGCTAACGTTTCGATCTTTATTGAGATCAACTTCAGGGCCTCGGATTAATAAACATTGTTTAAATTTTAGAAATACATGTAGGATGTGGAAAAAAAAATGAATTTATTCAATGCTAGAATTTTAAAATTCCATCAATACACAGAAAACAAACACTTTGAGTAAGTACAAATACTTTGATTGAATTTAAAAATTCTAGCATTGTATAAATTCATTTTTTCCACATCCTACATGTATTTCTAAAATTTAAACAATGTTTATATATTCCAGATCCTGAAGATGATCTCAATAAAGATCGTAACGTTGGCACGATAAAGAAAATGTTTTTCTAAAGACTAGGTCACACCAGAGCGCATCTCACGATCTCCAAATAATCATTGGCTAACGGTCATTAAACACCACAAATTTTTAATTGATTTTAACTTTTTGTCATATAATTAAGTTAATTGTAATTAAAAAGCAAAGCTCATAAGGCATTTTCCGATAGGCTTTTTATTCAAAATTCCTACCCAAAATTTTCACTTACGTACGAATTTGGATTAATATAGTTGTTCAAATAAGCGATGTTGTACCACCAGTCGGTTCTGCATTGTTCGCTTGAAATCCCGACGACGCGGTCCCACACGGGCCCATTGCCGGTTCGATACAGCCAAGTTGCAGTGATGGCGATCATCATTGCGTATGATGGTGTCAATCTGAAAAAAAAGGAAAAGTAAACATTATGGTCAAAAGTCAAAGCTTTATCCTAGCTATCCTAAATTGATAATTATCGAGGTTTTATTTTTCTTTAGTAGGTGGTTTTATTAAATTTATTTTTTTCTTATTATTTATTACATTCCACAACCGGAGACAACCAAAAAACACAATTTCCTAAAAATATTTATGATTTTTATTATGTAACATGGATTTTTTATATACAGTGCCTTTTTTATATTTACAGTTTTACGGTTTTTTAAATAAAAACACTTTTCCTTTTATTTTATTATTTTAATAAAATATTTAAACTTTTCATGATGCATACTTTCTTTTAAAAGATATACGACCATTTCGCCTCTATAATTTAAGGGTTTTATATAAAATTTTATATTATTTTATTAAATAATATTTAAAAAGGAAAGCTTAATTGCCGACAAGCAGCATGGCCATGATAGAAGAATGTTGCCTATTGTTTTTTTATGCGCGATTATGTTAAACGCTTTTTTTATTTAGAAATCTAACTTTTGGTGTATTTATACTATTTTTTATAATATGCATTTTTAGAAATTTTTAATTTATTTAATTATCATTTTTATTTTATATGAGGAATTTTTTAAAGGTATTAATATTATAATAATAATTTATAATATTATTTAAGAGTTTGCACCAAAATTTAAACTATTGGAATTTTTATTTTATTTAGGTATTTTTTTAGTTAGTTTTTTAAAATAACAATGCAATATTATTGTTTAATATATTTTTAAAAGTTTTCATAAATATTTAAATATTGGATTTGTCATTTTTTATTTATGCACCTTTTGAATTAGTTTTTTAATAAAATATCCGATTACAATAAAGGCATTTGGTTATAATCAATTTTTGTTTAATATTTTTTCTGTATTTTTTGAAATATACAGGGTATCATTTTTAGATGGCCTGGCTGAATTTCTCCTGAACTAAAGAGGCTATCAAAAAATGAAATACAATAAAAATTAAAAATACACGTGTTTAATATTTTTTAGTATAATTTTACTTTTTTTGGAGAAAAATTATACACGGTATCCAAAAAAGATAAACATTTGAAACTAGGCTAAAAATATTAAACACTTTTTTTCTTGATAGCGTCAGTAGTTCAAAAGAAATTCAGCCCGGGCATCTAAAAAGGATATAAGAATGCGAATTCGAACTCGGGACCTTTCAGTGATGAGCGCCGTGTCAACGCCTAAACCCCCTGAAAGAGAAATTGAAATACACATCAAACACAGTCAAGCTGTAAATTGTAACCTTTAGTGTTCCGTGAAACTGGACAATTAAGTTAGGTTTATTAATTGTTACCATATTGGTTTTTTAAATATTTAATTGGTTTTTTGTTTGGTTTTTAATTTAAAATAGTTGAATATGCGAAGCGGGCAGCACCCCGAAATCGATCCATTTAAAATAATAATTATTATTTTTATGAAATTGTGTTTTTGTGTCTTCGTCTATAAAATATAATAAATATTAAACTTTCTGCGAAAAAGTGCTACTTGTCTTTTATAATTTTTTAGATTACAATTGAGGAGAATTCCTTCACTCTCCTCTCCCTCTCCCTCTACCTCCTAAGCCCATCCACCCCGCAGATGTAATGTACCAGATTCTCCGCCTGTCCGAAAGACAATTCCCAGGCCATGATCTAATTACCCCTAAAATCCTCCGAAATCTACCCAAAAAAGCAATAGTGTACATTACCTCTATTTACAATGCAATATTTCGCACAACCTATTTCCCTATCCAGTGGAAACTATCTTTAATAACTCCAGTACCAAAACCACACAAACCCCCAGTGCCCCATAGACCAATAAGCCTCCTTCCTATTTTATCCAAAATCTTTGAACGTATCCTCCTTAAAAGATTAATGCCTATATTTGACTCTGAAAACGTAATCCCTAACCATCAATTTGGGTTTCGACCTCTCCATTCTACTGTTCAGCAGTGCTTCAGAGTAGTCGACACGATATCTTCGGCTCTAGAAAACAAACAATACTGCTCAGCCGTATTTCTGGACTTCACGGAAGCATTTGACCGAGTATGGCTCCCCGGCCTCCTCTATAAGTTAAAATGTATCCTCCCTCAGGCCTACTACCTTATCGTGAAATCCTTCCTCTCAGATCGATGGTTTAAAGTAAGAATCGGCACCGAGTTTTCACCTATCACACCAATCAAAGCTGGCGTTCCACAAGGAAGTATCCTAGGCCCAATCCTCTACACCATCTACACTGCTGACATACCCACACATCCAAACACACAAATCACAGCCTACGCGGACGACACCGCAATCTTATCAACACACTCCAATCCTATCCTAGCAACAGAAGCACTCCAACAACACCTGAACCTTATTACCAACTGGTGCAATCTGTGGCGGATCAGGTTAAACGAACAAAAAAGCCAACACGTTACATTTACGCTCAAACGATAAACCTGACCACCAGTGCACATTTACAACAAAATAATACCACCATCGAACCAAGTCCGCTACCTTGAGCTTTACTTAGATAGTAGACTTACTTGGAACCCACATACACGATTAAAACGGCAAGAACTTAACAAATGATATGGACTACTCAGACACCTTCTTGGACAAAAATCAAAACTAAGCGTACATAACAAACTAACCGTTTACAAAACACTCATCAGACCTATTTGGACCTACAGAGTCGAGCTGTATCAACTCATCCAATATCCAACGAATTCAGTCTTTTCAATCTAAAGTTCTCCGCCGTGTCCTCAATGCTCCCTTCTACGTCACAAATCAAACGATCCATAAAGATCTTAAAATCCCTTTCGTGAAAGATCTTACCCATACACGCTTCTTCACTTTTCACTCTAAACTCTCCCTCCATCCTAACTGACTAGCCCTAACTCTTTCCTCAACATCTCACCCTTACAATCCTCCACGCCGTTTAAAACGACGATGGCCTCGTGACCTTCTATCTAACCCACCAAATGAACTTTTACTCCCCCCCCAATTAAATAAAAGTTGGTTTCTCTCCCCACTGCCTCCTGGTCTGACAGGTCTGTCAGATTAGTTTATAACTAACTATTTGCTCAATGTATATTATGTACAGATAGCAATAAATAAAATAAATAAATATCTAAAAAAAAATAAATAAATAAATTGATATTTTGATTTAAACAAATAATTTAAATGACCGCTAGAAATTGTTTATTTTGTTATTTTTTCTTTTAAGTTTTACAACTGTAATTTATTGGAGGGAATGGAATTAAAGTGAAATGTAATGAATAAACAAATCTGTGCTGGCCTTGTTAATCCTGTGCCAGGGTAAATTTTTTCTCATTATCCCCCAAGTTACTCCTACAATACGATTTTTTAATCCTGACCCAGTTGTCCGTATTTTTGTAAAAATTAGTTTATTTATTTATGCAGGATTTCATTTAGGATGGAATTGTTTGGTTGGCTTGGAAATGAACACTGTGTGATAGTTATTGTTGACGATTATTCAGAAATCGTGAGATGCGGTCTGGTGTGATGTAGGTTTCAGAAAAACATTTTCTTTATCGTGCCAACATTTCGATCTTTATTGAGATCATCTTCAGGGCTCAAAGTGTTTGTTTTCTGTGTAATTGTGCTATTTTTGCGTGTCGTGTTGAGAGTTATTGTTGACGTTCAACTCATCACAAGTGAGTCCAACTGGCAACGATGATGGCTATTGCAACTCACTATCGTGACACAACACCCAACATACGACAGTAGATGGTCGAAAGGACATCGACGCATAGTAGATGTACTCAATACTGCGACGTTTGTTATTGAAAGAAGCACGTGCATTGGTGTACACGAGGATAGTAGTTAAAACTGGGGTTGTTGCGTAGATATTCCGCTCTGGATGTACATCATGATGGGCAGACCGATCATAACATATGGCACGATTTCCTGGACCAATAAAGTCAAACAATTTACAAAAAAACAGAACCCACAAAAATATAATGCACGAATTGATTTGTACCACTGGAGTGATGAGAATATGCCTAAAAGCTAGTAGGGAAAAATATAAAAACACATACTTCTCCTCGAAATGATAACAAGGGGAGCATAGAAAATTATTCTTATAATGGATAAAGAAGAATATATAAAGCGATTAAAATTGAAATGGAAAGACATGAAAATCGTAGGAGTCCATGAACAGGACATTTGTATTTAAACAAAACTTGCAGACAAACCTAAGTACCAACAAGGAGTAAGGAAAGGGAAAAAGTGTATCGGATCGGAAAAAATACTCTCTGTTGTTTCAGCGATGGATCTAGGACGCAAGAAGGTAAGGGGGCAGGGGATTTGGCCCCAAAACCAAGTATTCTGACCCTATGGGCTTGGATACCAGTTTCTTTCAAACCAAAATTCACGCAATTGAGTTTTGTACTCATTTCAATTTGATAAGAGTATATAAAAACAAAGACACAGCTAGGAAATAGTCAGGCAGCAATTCAAGCATTAAACATACATACTAAATGACAATATCATCAGTTCAAGCATAATGCTTTATTTAAAACCAAACTTAACAGGTTGATAGCGCAATTACTCTTTTCAAGAATTAAAACTAATTAAAAGAATGGGAGGCCGTTGCGAGGAAAGGATGTTACACTGCTGACAGGTCTTGAACAGATCCGGTTTTGAAGTTCTGAGTTCCATATTATATGACTCTCTAGGCACAAATTATCAACAAACCTCCTTGCATGATTTGGAAAGAATATACAGAACGCATCAAATGAAGAAGGAGACTCCACATACTAACTGGATTCTTGTCAGGGCACTGCGGATTGAATGGGCACTTGGGAAAGACTGGCATGAACCAATACGGTTCATGCATACTCTGTGAAGAGCCCCAAAGCACTTATTACCAGTCTGTACTGCCACATTTCTTCGAACGAGAAAGGGTTATGGGACGTATAACGTAACCTTTGTAGAAATATACAAATACCAATTCCCCTGAATCTACATCTACTATTCTTTCCAAATATGTGCAGGTGCAGTACCACTAAAGAGGCGCAGTTGAGAAAATGGATAGGTGTTATTTTCGGGGCTTTCAGTTTTTCTGGCCATTTATTATATATATANATTATATATATATAATATTATGCAGGGTGGGTGACCAAGACCCGAGGGGTTAAATAGGGTAGACTCGTACCCCATCCCTAAAAGGTCCGTGACTGGGTCGGCTCCCGTATCCTGCATAAACCTCTAGGTCCTGTTCTCAAACCCCAAGATTTTGGACCTTTTAATCTCGGGGAGTGATTTGGTGATGTCCTCTCCTTCAAAAATTTCCATTCTAGACTATCACACGGCCATTTATTAAAAAACGAACCGTTTGGATGATTTAATTCACATGATACATTGAAGCTCGGTAGCCAAACCTCTATGTAAGTGTCTGTACAGAAAAAGTTATGAATATTCTTGCGACAGTCTACATACTAATGGTTAGTATTAATAATAAAAAAAGAAGAAACGTCAATGATGGTAGCTTATCCAGTTAAAACTACTTTACAGTACAGTCCTTTCTAAACATCCCAAGATCTACAACGTCCAGACATGTCAGAATATTGAAAAAAGACAAGTGATGAAGTCCTATATCACGCTCCGACGTTACGTAAAAAATAAGAAACTTCTGAGACAATAGTGGCATGCTTGTAAAACTAGACCCACTAAACAGTCCAGTCCCGACCAGATATGCCAGGTATTACCCCATGCCACTACATAACATCCTTTTGATAATGTTAAAACGACATGTCATACATCTTTGACAAGGTCCGACGGTAGGATATGATAGGAATATGATGTTGCACTTACGGTATGGCGTCTAAGTATGACGAGATGCTGTTGCGTTGGACCGACCACAGGTTGCCTAATACCGATCACATAAAAGCAATAATAGCAGTTAAAATTGTTTAAAGAAATCAAGTTAGATATTAATCGTTAGAACACTTTTATAATTATGCTTTTTAATAGTTCCTAAAAAATGTACGCAAACTGCATTATAGCTTTTAAACGTAGTAACATATGTAACAACAGAACTACATTAAGCGAACTTTTTAAATTCGCAATAACATACTAATTGTACAAATTCAATTTACCTGATAAATCGATGAACATAGGAAATGATAACGTCCAATATTGTGTATTTCCTTTTCTTTGCCCTTATAGTGCAAAAGGCGTACATGTTCAGCAGGCCGGAAATCATGAAGAACGTGTCGACAGACAAAGGTGCGCTGAGTATGAACATTTTGGTCCAATTTTTGATTTCCTGCAAATGATTTGTCAAAAAAAAAAATCACGCGAACTTTTGTCAACATGAATCAAACAATTACTTTTGGGATAGAAACTAGATTTGTAATTGGCTGATTCATTAGGTAACGATACTTATGCCCAAGGACGACCCAGCTAATGGAAAGCGCCTTGAGACCGTTGATGCAAGTTATGGAGTCTGGGGAGGTTTTCGTTGATATCAACTTGTTCAGGTTGGTATAGGCAGAAAAAGCGAGTATCATGTGCTCACCAGGATACGGTTCTAAAGTAAAAAAACAGGAATAGAATTATTATATATTTCTTGTTTATCACTATGTAGTTTCTTTTCCAAACCAAAACTACAAGTAAATCGTATAAAGAAATTTTAACTATATTTTTGAAAGAATAAAGAAAGGAAGATTTCTATTTTAAAAAATTATATCACCATAAAAATATGTAGGTATGTATTGTGAACTGCGGAGGGCGAGTGGTTAGGGAATCAACTCGTTTCAGGCACGCCAGCGGTTCTGGGTTCGAATCCCATCATAGCCCGTAGAATTTTAATTGAGAATAATTTAAAAAATATATAATAAAATATTTCGAACGCTTGTTCTTGATACTCATTAGGTAGAATTAGCCTTATTATGTGATAGGAAGTATTTATTTAGAGATAAATTTGACACTGTAAATAAATATTCTACTTACGCTTTAAATAATATATTCCATATATATAATTTTATATTATAATTAAAATTATATATTAATTCGCTTTAAAATTATAAATTCCACTAGAACAGTCAGAAAATTGTACAAATTACTAAATGTTAAAACTGCAAATTTTCGCGCAAAACTTTCAAGTACTAGTCATTTAACACGTTTAAAAAATGTTTTTAATATACTGTTATCGCCTTTTATGTCTGTCAATGAATTTTGTGAATTTGATTTTCATAAACTGTAATGTTATGTATTTATTTTTATGTGAGCTACAATGAGCATTATGCGGTCGAGCATTATCATGCATTAAAACGAATTTGTCTCAATAAATGGAGAGAATGGGACTTCTGCTTCCAGAAGAGTTGGATCAATGTACCTCAATGCTGGCAAAGATCCATTTTTTATGATAAACATTTCGGTACGGGACCTGACTCAGGGCATATGAAGCAAAGCGTTATCCACTCTTCTCCACACACGGTCCCGGCCTTCTGATTGCCACAGACTAAACCCGCACTTTTGTCCGAAGAGAACAGCCCCATTGTTCATGTGTCCAAGCGAGATGGCGATTTGCGAATAGTCGCCTTTCTACTCGATGCTTCTCCAATAGCATAGAACCGGATGCGAGACGTCTAAAGACTAGGCTATTCTCACGAAGCCCTTGGTGTCTGTTTTAGACCTCACCCTTACAGTACGGAACGTTGGGGTGTTGATTACCTATTATCAAAGAAGCCGTTATAGGACGGCTCCATAGTAATGGTCTATGGCAGTAGTGCATCACGGTCGACCACTACCTTCTTCTCTTCGATCGAAACTTCCGGTGGCGGCTCTAAATCTCTGAAAACCATCGTGGGTGGTGGAGCGCGGTACACCAGGATTTGGGCTATGCAATGGGCCTTCGTTGTCCAAAGCATCTGCCTAGACTTAAAATCACTCTATTAAGAAAGAAATTACTCAAATTTATTGTTTCATCAAAGAAAACAATTTAAAATACAAGTTAATTACCACTTGACAAGTTGGCTCAAGAAAGGATAAAATTGAAATGTTTTTATTTTATTTTTAATCTAAAGAGTTCATAAGGATTACACACATTAGGGATATTCACGATGTTTCTAAGAAACTTCAATTCGTGCCGACATACGACTTTGTATCCTAACGTCTAACAGTCTACAACTTGATAGGATAAGGGATGTATCTATTATGAATGAAAGTATAAGGACAGGTCAGAAATTGACAAAAGAGTTGTATTGGCCTGATTTAATTAACGCTTATTTAAGAATAAAAATACGTGTAAACAAAAAGCAGCTGTTAAATTCATGGCTGCCATGTTGGTTACCTACGCCCTAACGGATAGCAATGTGACTACATTTTCGACCTAACAAACAACAATGGCCCTGGCCTGTTAGATCGAGCAATGTTAACTAGCCGATTCTTGCAAGTCTACGTCATCATTTTTCTCGATATAACAGGACCTAACAGAGTAAACACAAAGTTCGTGAATACTCCTATTGTTGTGTACAGAGGCGAATTAACAAGTTTTTAATGTTGTGTTTTAAATCAACTATTAATCTTGATACCTAGTTATTATGGTGAATAAACGATTAAATACAAGTGTACTACTTTTTTATGTATGAGTGAATAACAAAAATATATTTGTGTATTAAAATTAAATTTGAATAGGTTACACTTCTAAACAATGATTGTTACTTAAACAAATTAAAATAATTAACGTTTTAAACTATTGCAGATAGATACCTACGCCTGTTCTTGATCCTGTTCTTTAGGCTGAAGAAATCTGCTGTCGTGCATATCGAAGTTATGAAAACGAAAAATAAAATGAATATCCTAAAACAAGACAAAAGAAACAATTACTCGAAAATTATTAAAAAGCTTTCATCGTCTTAAAAATAACAAAGTATGTATTTTGTGAGGTCCAGCTTTGGCGTTAAGAGAAGTCGTAAGAGATTATCCAGTTACAAATGTATAAGTTGTTTTTAAACTTTTTGTGTGACAATGTCCAATGTTTGTCTGTGGTTGGTTAATTGCACAATTACACAGAATTTATTGTCGAAACAACTCTTAAAAATTATACTTTTCTAAAAAAGAATTATAAATTATACTTTAAAAAGTAAGTTCTTTGATTTCTTCAAGGATGTTTATTAAAGTTCTTTGAAACATAAGGATTTTTAATTAACTTTTTGATTGTAAGGGTTTCTCTGTATTCCAATATAAATATAATTTATAGTTTAAAAAAAAACGAAATTTCTATATTTTTTGCTGACAGTTTATAATTTTTTAAAACCAGATTTTAGGATTAACAAATGTAATGTATTGTTGTTAATAAGGAATGTTACTAATTTATCTAGCTTCTTTTATATAAATATATTAAAGTTACTATGCCAAAATTAATGTCTTAAATAGCTTGATTTAGTGAAAATTTGGGGGAAAATTTAGGTCATTCGTAATCACAAAAGTTTCTCTTTGTTATCCATTTCACTCCTCAAATATTATTTACCAAAAGGTAAATTATCTCAATGGCAGATAAGGAGCTGTGATTAATAACGTGAGACGTTCCAATTTTATCGTTAATAATAACATCCGCCCACATTTTTGTTCATGAAATTGTTGTCATTCCAGTATTGCGTAATTTTCAGTGGCATTTTCACGTAGCTAGAAGTTTATTATTATTTTTAAAGTGGCTCGGATCATCCGAAATCTCATAACGTTGAGGAAATTTTTAAATAAAGAGGTGCTGTCACGACCGACGTGGCTTTAATTTAATATCTGTTTTTTCCTTTCCAAAATTCATGTACCTCGAACACCTAGCGCAATTTTTATTTTTGTTTGTAAATTTGACTATTTTCTTTATTAACTCAAATGAAAAACTGAATATAATAACAATAATAATTTTCGAATATTTTTGTTGTTCAGTGCATGTTTTTAGTTGTAAACCTTTGAATGAAATAAAATAAAATAAAATGCAGAGGATTTCTCATATGAAGATTACTTATGTACACAAATAATATGGGATATATTTGTAGAACATTCTTAAAAAAATAATAATCACAAAAAACAAACATCTTCAAATCTTAGGAAAGAATTTATATTAGTGACTGTTAGTCGGTGGTTATTCGGAGATCGTGAGATGCGGTAATATATGCATATATTATAGGTAATTTAAAAAAACAACACTTGAAAATTAAGAGATTCTTGAGCTAAATTGGTGTAAAAAAAATAAATAGATAAAAGTACAGAAAAACGACTCTTTTTTAAAATGCCGATAGATTTTGTGATATTATGACCAACAGGAAACATTTCTCACTTACATAACAACCCATTCTGTTGTGGAGTAGTTTCCTCTTTCCTTCAGGTGGCAATCGTTTGGATCAATGGCCACTTCCATTTTCGTCCCGGTCATCAACATGTTCGCTCCTTGGAGGATGGTGTTGAAAGAACGTTCTAAAATCCACGGTTCACACGAAGACGGAAAACATTGCCCCATGGTCAATGTGAGCGTGTTCGAACCGAGCAGAGCGCTTATGGGCACGGTTAATCCGTCTATCTACAAAAAGATTTAGTATAACATTTAAACCATTTGCAGTTTGGTCGTTTCCTAACATTTTGGTCTAAGTGTTTTTATTTTGTTGTTTGTTAGACCAGAATTACCTGAAACGACAAACACACTGTTTCATTCATCTCTACGAATACATATCAGATTCGTAGCTGTCTAAGAAAGTGAGAATAGGCAGAAAGATGGTTGAATATGACCAAGCAATAGGTTCATCTCCCAAAAAATCTATAAACATTATTTCTGTCATTTGTACCAGTTTCTGGCCAAAATAGAGAGTACAAGAGACCTATAAAAAATTAATAAATTGTAAACTTTCTTTTGGAGGTTTGTAGGTATATGAACTTTGGAGTTTAGTCAGTCAGCGAGAATACTGTTTTCGACTGCCACACCAAAATGACCCGTCTCGACTAGGCTCCCTCAGCACAAACCTCAAAGAAAGCTTACAATTTATACCCCTTGTAGCTCGATCGTTTTTTATTTTATTCGTCTCCTGTAGCTGGAGGCTTCTTGGCCAGAAAGACTAAAATGAACGGAAACGTTCAAGCAAGAGGTTCATGTCCCCACAGACCACTAGGAGAAATTTCATTACTCTAGCCATTTGTAATAGGTAGTTTCGATCGTTTTGATCTTCCTATATTCCCTGTTTTGTTACCAGACCAAAATAACCAGAAGCAACACGTTGTAGGTTTGTTTATCTTCGCCCGACTTCCAAAAAAATCTAATAGTTTACATAATTTATAGCTTGATCGAAACGATCTTTATATCTTTCCTTTTTTAATCGGCCAGATCAAAATTTTAGGAAACGACTTACGTAAAGTTCGATCTATCCTATGATCTTAAGGTACATCTCACAATTTGTACTATTTTTAGATAGTCCAGTATTAGTCAAAAACATTAAAAATTGGCAGGCAAAAAGATCGAAAATGACCAAGCTGAAGATTCATCTACCCTCAAACTTCAAAAAGGAATCGCACAATTTCTATAACATATAGCTTCGTTGGATAGTTTTAATTTTGCCATCATTAAAGTTTTGGTTGGTCAGGTCAATATTATCGGAAATGAAAAACCTACAGTTTTTACCTCTATAAATCTCAAGAAGAAATCTCAAAATTTCTACTATTTATAGTTGTCCAGCTGTCCAAAATGAACGAAAACTACCAAGGTACATTCATGTCTTCACCTCATACTCGCTGTTTCTGGATCAGGCTAAAATCAACGGATATGAAGGTGACAGGTCCATCTTCGCTCAATAGAAAAAAATCTGACAATTCATATATTTGCACATAGGTCTTTTTTTTTATCGTTTTGCACTCTAGTATGTGCTATTTTGGTCGGACAGACCACAAAATAACCAGAAACAATTAGTTGTAGCTTAGGCTACAAGTCGTATAAATTCTCTGAGCTGAGTTCAACAAAATATATCACAATTTATACCTTTATGGTATATATATATACGGCGTGGTCACCCCAAATCATGGGTCAAAAATTCAAGATCTTGTAGAAAACTGAACGCACAGTAAAAAAGGTCGTGGGTTAACCAGCTAAAGAACCAAGAAAAAACACGTTTTCTGACCTTGTTTTTGAAATAGTAAGTAAACCGCTATTACTACCATAAAACAGCTCGAAACAACATCCATAGTGTATTTATTTCAGCGAGGAATGAATCTAAAACCTAATTGGCTGAGAATTATAATTTTCGCGAGGGGCACAAAAAATATGAAATTTATTACTAATATGTATTTTCGTAAATAGAAATTCACAATTCGTGGACGTCGACACTTAAATTGGCAGATATGTCTCTGGGCGATATCAGTGAGACTATCCCCACAGAACCAAATGACTTTACTCAATTATTAATAAATGAAAGAAATATAAAGTCCTCAATGTTAAATTTGAAGGATTTGTCGAAATGGAATCCTATGAATACAAAGCAGGGAAGGGCAGGACAAGTAAAATAAAATAAAATGTTATGCAGAGGTTCATATGAAGATTATTTATGTACACTTATAATATGGGATATATTTGTAGAACATTCTTAAAAAATCTTGAAAAGATAATAATGAAAAAAGAAAACTCTTCCAATCTCAAGAAAGAATTTATATCTGGATATGCAAGGAAACGAGAGAATCGATAATAAAAAAAAGCAAAAAATACGTATCTCTTTACAAATACATAACAACATTTTTTATATATATATATAATTTAATAATTAATCAATTAAGGTAATTTAAAAAAATAAAACTTGAAAATAAAGATATTTTTGAATAAATTGGTGTAAATAAATCAAAAAATAAATAAAAGTATAGAAAAACGATTCTTTTTTAAAATGCTGATAGATTTTGTGATATTATGCCCAAAAAGTAATATTTCTCACTATTTTGGCCAGTGAGACCAAAATGACCAGAAGCGACTAACCGACAAGTCCAACTCCTAGAATACGTCAACAGAAACGATCAAAATATCATTTGTAGCTTGATCGATTCTAATCCTTTTGGTCTTCCTATCTTTGCTGTTTTTGTAATCTGACCAGAATGACTAGAAATTGCTAAGCTACATTTTAATTTATTATTATTTGATACACTTACACATCATCTCCTCAGAAACATCAAGATGGAATTTCACAATCTATACTATTTTTAGCTAATACGTATCTGACCATTTTGGACAAAATGTGGATATGATATTATCAGATCTAAATATGAAGTTTATTACTAATATGTATTTTCGTAAATAGAAATTCACAATTCGTTGATGTCGACATTTAAATTGGCAGATGATGTCTCTGGGGCAGTATCAGTGAGACTATCCCCACAGAACCAAACGACTTTACGGAATTATTAAGGAAAACAAGAAATATAAAGTCCTCCATGTTAAAATTTGAAGGATTTGTCGAAATGGAATCCTATGAATACAAAGCAGGAAAAAGCTTTGTTTTCTTCCAAGACCAGGTTCCACAGACCGCATTCAAGGAAATAGGTTTTCGGGAGAGGAACTATATTGGACCTCGCTCTTTCAATACATCTTATTCATTCCTTTGATCAAAATAGGCTCTAAACATCTAACATTTTATAAATCCAAACTAACAATAATAATTGTAGCAAATGTAGTTAAGTTATTCAAAAAATTGTTATGATAAATCAAACTAAATATAAAAGATGCTACGAATACTGTCTATCTACATTATTTCACCTTTTATATCGATTTGAACTTAGTTTAAAATAATTTATGTTATTTTTACATATTATGTTCTTTGTGAAATGATTTGGTAACATTTTTGCCTCGAGAACATTTGTGGCAATTAGACATTAATAAATATGTCCTGCAGCGATTATTAATTATCTTTGTCAGCAAACACCTTTACAGCAACGCTAGCTAATTAGTTAGTAGAACTGGCAAATTAAGTCTACAATTAACTGGAGTAACTTTCTTACTGCATTGCATAACTGTTTCTGCAGAATATTGTTAATTAATATTTTATATAATAAAATTTTTGTTTTCTAAGGCTTGGATACTGACAAATTTTCAACAGAATATGGTACCACTCCATAGATAAGGGTTGTTCATTTTGAAAAAACGGGAAAGATATAATCAATTTAAACAGTCAATACATGATAGATTAAGTGTTGTTTGGTCGAAAAGTTCAAAGATAAAGATTTAATCATCAATCACTAGTCACCATATGCACTTGTGCTAAATTCGTCTGGTTTTTGCGTTGATTTTGTTTAAAGTTCTAACGTTTTATAAGGAAAATGCGATTTTTTCAGTTTTACAAATTCCAACCATACCTAGATGCACACAGACAAAATGAGAAAATTAATAAATTAGTTTTTTAGTTGAAATGGATTGTTTGACTTTACATCAATGGTGAAGTTTGCCGGTAGTGTGATTTTCAAATCCGTAAGGCAGTGCATCCCCTTTAAAGAGTACTCTTCAGGTTCGATATCGACGCATTGGTCAAATTGGCCCAGGTCGGCGAAGTTTCCTACCAGGAAGCCAGACTGGAGTTTGGCTGAAGCGTCGACCACTGGAAAAATTGGATTAAAAACAAAATTAAATTGCTGTTAACCAATTGTTTACATCCAAGTTATATTTTCTAAAGAAATAACATCAAGAAACAACAGTTTGATCTAAATAATACAGGACTCGGGTGTCAATACGTTTTTATAAATTTAATTTTTAATTGAATGAATTTCGTTGTAAAGTAATTTGTAAGTAATGTACAAGGTAGTCGAACTAGAAAAAAAATATTACAGGACTGACGTTGGACGAAACAGTTCCTAAGTGAAGATGGAATTAAATTATATTTATATATTTTTGATTGACTTTTATTGAAAAATTGGCAGTGCAAACTTAATGTAACTGGACCCTACACGAACTTTTCTGATCTTCTTGTTCAAACCACAAATCTTGTTAAGCACATTAAATTTCCAAAAAATTTTATTATTGTACTATTACAGTATTATTTTAATTATTTGGTAATTAAGCTGGCGAATTAAAATCCATGCTCATGGACTTAAAATTTTGTAAATGTTAGTTACAAAATTTTGCAGGATGGCCTACTACAATAGTTACTAAATCTTGTCCGTATTATTACCATGGATGAAAGAACATATTTTTACATTTATGTATTATACTTATACAAAGATCTCTCTCTCTCTCTCTCTCTCTCTCATTTTCTCTTTCTCTGCATTTACTCACTATGTTTAACTCTGCATTTCTCTTACTTTGCTTCTGTCTCTCTCTTTTTTGCGTGTTTCACTCTTTTTTCTCTCTCTCCCTCCCTCACTATGTTTAAATCTGCATTTCTCTTATTTTGCATCTCTCTCACTCTCTTTTTTGTGTGTTTCACTCTTTTTCTCTCTCTCTCCCTCACTATGTTTAAATCTGCATTTCTCTTACTTTGCTTCTCTCTCACTCTCTTTTTTGTGTGTCTCACTCTTTTTTCTTTCCCTCTCTCTCGAACTTTCTCTTTCCCTCTCTCTCAAACTTTCTCTCTCTCTCTCTCTCTCTCTCTCTCTCCCTCACTATGTTTAACTCTGCATTTTTCTTACTCTGTTTCTCTCTTACACTCTTTGTTGTTTCACTCTCTCTCTATCTCTCTTTCTTTCTCTTACTTTCTCTCTTAAATTTACCTATCTCATTCTGTATCTCTGGCTATAAAAGTATCTAACTATAACACTCAATTTTATGTATATGTAAACATGTATAATGCAGCCAGTTTTCTTGGTTTATTTATTTTGAATTTTCGTGAATATTTCTTTCTATGTATCTTGTCTATCTATATATTTCTAAATACCTACGTTTTATCTACTTTTCTAGCTGCCTACCGTTTCTTTTTCGTTGTCTTATTGCCCCAAAAACTGTGTAATAAAATTCCCAATAATAATTTAACAAATTCAGTTACGTTTGTACAATTCTTCCATGCATATTTTTTGGCGGTTTCTATTTCATAGTTTCATAGTTTATGCTACCGATCGAGTTAGCCGATCATAGTTTTTATCGAGAACAATAGCAGTGCTAACGATTCATTTTTAACAAATGGATATTTAAAATTTATCATTGAACTATTGATCTATAACACAATTAGGAGAAATAGGGAATTTAACTTCTTAAAGAAACGAAACTAAATGGGTTCACAGACGATATATTTGAAGATAATCCGTATTGTAGCCCTACCGTGTTTGGAGGTTCGCTATTATCGTCTTCAATATGCTTCGACCTGTCACTTTAAAGTCCACCCTTATCAATTAATTTAACCTTGTAGGCATCGGTTAATGATAGATGCGAAATGAAAGTTCAATTTTAAAACATAAAATTCTCAGAACCTAGCCACTGTATAACAAATCCGTGTGAATGTACATCTAACGGCAAGGAAATTTCTTTTGCACAGATATTAATTGATTTTACAGCTATATGTCGAGAAAAAAATTGAATTCTTTAGTATTAATTATTATTAAAATACTCAAAAACGACAGAAACTAAGGATCTTTTACAATTTTTAAAATCTGACTGTATCAATAAATACATGAGTTTCTGCTACTAGCAGTTAACTGCAAAAAATATATTTTCCATTTTCCTTCCATTAAAACATATTGTCTTATACAATTGTATTATCCTTTGTTTAATTATTCATTTTTATACTATACATACTATTATAATTTGATTAGTTCTTGTATATCTATATGAATTGAATTACAGTTCTCTTTCTTGTTTAATGGGGAATGAATATTGTACATCTGTTTAATATTATTTTCATTATGGTATTTTGGTTATGACAGAGCAGATATAAAATTTTAAAAAGCAATAATTGCTTGGAACAATTATTGTTCCACGAAAAGAATTTAAATTATTTAATGAAAATTAGCAGCACCATTTATTTTCAGGTCTGCTACTTAATTAAATTAGTTTTCTCAGAAAAGTTGAAGAATATTTCCTGTATTAAGAAGATTATAAATGGTCTAATAAATTGATTACACTTTAGTCAAATATTTTATCAGTGTCCACGGAATAGAAAAAAACATTGCTGGTCTTTTAATTCCATTTCAATTGTTATTCGACAATAATTTATGAAAATAAATCCTTTCAAAAAATATTCTATTGAAATGTCTTTCGAAGGTATTTATTGTAATTTTTTTGTCCATTGATTATTTACAAAAGAAACAAGTTTATACTGCCTTGTTGGCTTAATCTTATCAGGCAGGATTTTACAAGTGCCTGACCACTGGAAGGCCATTGTAATGATTACGTTAATCAGATATTATTTATACACTGTTAAAAAAAAAAAAAAAAAAAAAAAAAAAAAAAAAAAAAAAAAAAAAAAAAAAAAAAAATTTGGTCGTTTAAATTTTCATTTAAGTATATTTTTTAACAAAACTATCAAAGCAGATATGGTTTTACTTTTATACTAACAACTAATGAATAAGTGTAATAATCAAAAATCCTAGAATGTTAAAAGAAAAATATTGACCTATCACCTTTTTTCGAAATGACGATCAATCTTTTAAAGGAATAGTATAATAAAACAAATTTAATTTATTACACATTATAAAAAAAACATTAACTAGTTTAACAGTAACATTTGTTAATGAGCAGTCATAAAATAAAATACCATTTGATTTTTGTTTTATGTTGTTTTGACGTTTTAGTATAGAAATCGAAACTGCTGGTTGTATATAATATATATACAGTTCTAGATGATAATAAATCAATTAACATAATATATTATGTACCTCAAATACTAGGTTAAACTGGATTAAACATATGTTACAAGTTAAAAATATCAAACACATAATAACATGAAACTTAATGATTTTATGTGAAACTTTTGAACGACATAAGAGGTTTCGCTGTCTCAGAATAATACAATAACACAATAATTTTTTTTAAAAGTTTGTTTTATAATTTTATTACTTGTATTGTAGTCTACTGAAAAAATGCTGAAGCGTGGAATTTAGTTATAAAGCAGAACTTTTTGACCTCATGATATGAGTTCTCTTCAATGTTAATTACATTTGTCTATCCTACACATATTGTTGGGGAATTCACTGAAGAGGCAAATGTAATTAACACTGAAGACGACTCATGTCAAGAGGTCGAAACTTATGTTCATAAATAAAATTTCATGTTGCAGTATTTGATCAACAACCTACAAAATAAATAATAAAATAATACTATAAATATTAATGTGATATATGTGCGATTTAAAAAAAAAAAGAAATGTAGTAGGACATTGGGATGTTTCTATGTTGTTGAAAGGAAGATAATTTTGTAATAACCTTGAAATTTCTTATATGAGATTAAGGAAGTTAAAATAATTAAAATTCTCATTAATATGAGATCTCGAAAATGAAATGTGCTGGCATCTTAATAGCATCTGTGGAAATCCATAACGAAAACAATATTTAAAACAGTACATAAATTGTAACATAAAAATTTCGCAATTTAAAAATAAATGTCTAACAATAAAGTTCAAACTATAAGATTTATTGCAAATTGAAATGGATAAAAATTATATCAGAGGTTAAAGTTTAAACAAAATGTACTTGAAATTAAGTGACTGTGAAAAATGCTTAAATTTTATTAGCTTTTTATTGCCCAAAAATGATATTTGAAAGTTTGAATTTTATGAAAATAACATAAAGTCGTCAATACACGCCTTGAAAATTTTTGATACGGTATTTTATATTTTAAAATTTGCAGTACATTATAACTGTTTATATAAAACTTTCGTAACTGTTACAATCACTGTCACTGGATGGGACATTTAGGAGGAAGGAGATCAAAAATCAATGAGAATTTATGGGATTCTTTTAGATGAGTGTTTCTTGATGATGATTTATGGTTGTTATTGTGGTTTTATGAAATTTACGGTAACGGGAGCAGTTTAAATTGTGGACAAAAAGAATATTTACATGGGTTGTGTTGCTTTAAGAATCAATTTCAAGGATTTTTCTTATGATTAGGCATCCGACAGATATTGAAATCCTAGCTGAATGCATTTTGACTCCAATTTAAGTCGTAAGACGATTGGCTTCAGTAGGGTATTTTAAAGTAGTATTTTTCTTTTTTGAAATAAGCCAGAGCGTTTATTATTTAAAGGAGTCATAACGTCTTACGTTTCGGTTGTGGAGATTCATCTTCAAATTTTTTCTATATAAGTGGATGGATTTTACTCTTCTCTTTTCATACAAAGGGCACCAGTATGTGCGGTGCTGTTGGCGGTTCGAGTGGAAACGACAGGCACAGAGTTTCTTTGAAACGATGGCTTTATCTTCTGCAAAAGGGTTGTGGTTTCAGCAGTTGAGCAGTGTACGCCTGATATAGTGTGGGGGTCAAAACGCTACCCTGAGAAAGACAGTATGGATAGGTTCAATGACTCGGAAAAACTGGCCAGATTAGATGACGTATGAGTAAGTCCGAAGAATAATCCTCTTGAGCAGTAACAGCTAGCTCGGGTGCCAAAACCAAATCATGAAACCAGGTTTTATGTTGTATTGTTTTTTACTGTTGAAAATAATAAATTTACCGTTCTATGCAAACAACCAACATTGCTTTGGAAAACTTTGTTTATCCTGTGATAGATGTGAATTTATTATGCTAAAAAACTAGAGATAGGATATATATTTTTATTTTATTCTTTTGATATTTGGATTATTTAAGAAAAAAGTGTATGGATCACATAACCCTAAATGTTTTTATTTTCATAACAAATTTTCAAAATATTATTAAATAAAGCCCCTAAGGACAGTTTGAAAATACATTATGAACGAAAGATCATCGTTTTTAATTAAAAAAAAATATATATATTTTTCGAGTGATTTATACTTACTGGACAAAGCCCAAATTTGCCCTTTCCTTAGCCCTTTTACGTACGCTTTTATCCCCAAGACGCAGGTCCAGACTTCGATGTCAGTCGTGTCCGACATATTTTGCAAAGCTTCTATCACTTTTTCGTAGAGCCATTTGATGAATCCTGGAATGCTGGTAAGGACGCTTTTGTTATCCCTGGCCTTCTTGTGCTGAGTGAGGCCGGTGTCATCGGCGAACGCCACGGCCAAAAAACAGCCGGCGAGCACCAAAACGGCCAAACGCGACATGTTGACGCACTGACGCCTCACTCAGAAAAATGATCAAAGGGTTTTGATCAAGTGGAAGGATTTATTATCTTATCGCCAAGCGATAAATAAAAAACTCAAGTATAGATGTGTATTCGAGTTTTAAATGAATCGATAATTTTTTGTGTGCAATTATTTGTGTTTAAACATTTTCTTTGTACAAGCTTTATTCAAAAATCCTGATGTCATGGCAAATTTTTATGCTGGTTGCATAAAGGTAACCAATATTTTTTTCTGAATCAGACTTATCATTTACAAATCAGTATATGTATAATACTTTCATCAACTTAATTTTCTTAGAGCAATATTCTTTTTGATTAACAAAATTAGTGAACTTTTTCTTCTCCTAACAAAATGGATGTCGAATAAAGTTGACTAAATATTGAAACATGGTTAATGGCCTGAACCAGACGATCCCAGGATGATCAGGGTTGATAAAACTACTGTCAAATGTTCAATGACTTTCAGAAAATTGATCAATCGTGGTTACAATTAAGGCTGTAGATATCGGTTTGTAAAAAAACACGAATAAAGAATATTTTTATTAATCTTTTCCGCTACACTGCTCATCAGTTTTACCTGCACCAACGATATTTCATTCAAAGATGTGAAAATGTAAGCATAATACCTGCAGCTTGTTCTTTCAGCTCTGCTTCCAGATCATCCCTGTGACATTCACTGAGTTATCTGAATTTACGACCTTTAGGCATAATGTCCTATGGATCCGGCCCGGAGGACCAAAAATTACTGGCGATTTCTTTAATACCGCGAATGGAGGTAAAATATCCTCAGGCATGGACGACCCTTCTGAAACGGTATGTCAACATAAACCTACACGCAACTACACATTTCACCCGAATTTTCAATTACAACCTGTACTGAAGGACAACTTGAGCTCCATGCACCAGTTAACGGAAGTGGTTTTGGAGTCATTTAGAAATGAAGTTGGATTCTTCCTTCTCACCTTCATCTTCAGATTGTTAACGCCCTCATTGCGCTAATTTTTCAAAACAAACAGCGCTTTCAAGCGCTATTCCCACTCTTCCAGAACTCATACATTTTCCCCATCGAGTTGGTAACCTTAAGTAAAATTATACAAACTAGAATCCAATTTAAGTGATACACCACCGCGAAAAACCCAAGTTGACTTGGATGACTAAACTGATATCAAGTGTTCAACGTCTTAGAAAAAAAGTTACAATCGTCAAAAGAGGTATCAGTTTGTAAAACAAAAAAAAGTATTATTTTTTGCACTTTAATAGTTCATGTTTACGCGGTCGAGTGGTTTTATGTTAGGATTTCATTTATTTCACTTTGGAAGTTAATACAATAAGCCAGACATTTTACGATATACAGCCCACAAATATTTAATAACTTTTACAACATTAAACAGAAGATTTTACAGTTGACGTATCACAGTTTGTAAAGCAATAGCTAGAAGAGTAATTTTTGGTAAATTCTTATATTCTTTGATAACATATGATCAATTAAACGTGAAATCTTTTAATTTTGCAATGGTAGCTTTTAAATTGGTACTGTGTTTAGTGTTTTTACCTTCCATATTGGCCGTAGACCCTCCCTTTCTCGTAGGGAGTTTTATCGGAAAAGGTTCGTAGATAAATCCATCAATGATAATAATTCGTTCATCCTCAACATTTTTTGTTGTTACAGAGGTGAAAACCGACAAGAAACCGGCAACTCCGGACGAGGTGATGATGCTGTTAAAAGCCCTGAGTCACATGGGAGCAGCCGAGGCCGAAGTTTTCGAAGGGGATTCCGAAGATTCTCTCGTCCAGGAAAGCGAAAACCTGGAGGAAAACGACGAAATAGGCCAGAATCGTAAATTCCACGGGCAGAAACGAACGTCGGGAAACTCCGCGATGAAGTACGACACGGGGAAACTTTCAGACCCGCAAGAGTTGGCCAGGGCTCTCGGATCGACACCCTCGCCGGAAAAATTAAAACGAGTTGTCGACATGATAAAACAGCACAATGTTTCTATTTATTCCACAAATTTTGACTTTATTGTGGATTGATCAAAGTTAGAAAAACCTTCTGAAAGCCAAATGAACAACTCTATCATAAATGTATATTTGCAATAATCTTTATAAAAGCTTTAATATACGAACATGAGATGATATTTTTCCTGTTCGAGCGGGGAAAAAAACCTTTAAAGTTTTTAAGGTAGGTTACTACATCGTTAGTGATTTTTAATAAATCTGTATATTGTATATAATTAAACTTTATAACCTCTGTACATCAATAAAAATAATGAGTCCCAAATCTATAAATAATTCTTAATTATGGTAATTCGCAGCCCACTGATCTGAGCATATTTGGAAATTGCACTGAAAAACAGATTTGTCCTACTATTCAATGAAAAATATATTGAAATGCTTTTACGCCCCCTTCCCATAAAAAGCTTTATTTGCAGAATAAACAACAGGAATATGTTCATAACATACACATTATCTATACTGTCGCCATTAATACTGCGATCGAGTACTAAAATGGATTATCAAAATTAAGGAAGTGTAGCACAGCTAAGATTGATTAATTCGATTTTAGTAACTGGATTATAGCCTATTGGAAGGGGGTTGTAATTCGATGTGAGGGTTGTCGAGAAAATGTCTAGTCCATTATCCTGGTACATATTGACTTTTGCAGGGTGTTCCACCTACAGCTGTCGATTTTCCTTGTAAATTTCACACGTCATTAACAAAAATGATGCTCTTATTCGTTACGTCGAAGGAATACCACACAAAATATTATATCTTTATTTGTTTAAATATAAGCAAGTTTATTTTTCTTGATGAGTTGAATTTTGCCAAAACTAGTATTGGGTTGTCCGGAAAATAATGCAGGATTTTGGTATTAAACAAAAAAAAAGAAACTAGTTACTTTAAAGCAATGTTCTTTAATCAAANCATACAAATGAGTAATCCTGTAAACGTAAACAGAATATTTTATATAGATTTTTTTTAATGAAAACTTAAAATCCTGCATTATTTTCCGGACAACCCGATATTTTGTTGTACGTAAGATGGTGGTTATTTGATATCCAGCCATCGACCCTCTAACACCACTCTCGTACTACCACCTAAAACTAACGAAAACCGATATCCAAAAACACTTCACTAATTTGGTGCCTACTTACTTTCAATATATAGTGCCACTGATTTGTGCATTGGATTGAAATTTACAAAAATATTTATTTATTTGTATAAAGTTTATAATAAAAACTATTGACTTTTTCTCCAAAAATGAAAAACAAAACCATCTAAGTGCCAAAAAAAGAAAAAAAAGGTTTTGACAAAAAAACCTTGTAAGTACCATCACCAGCAATCTTAAAACAGTCTAAGGTGAGCACGTCTAAGAACCAGGCTTGTCGGCAAACGTCTAAATGCCATAAACAAATTTTTCTTACCGTAACTTTGGCTCATGTTTATTGCTCCCAAATTATGTTATTTGGTATAACAACTGTGGTGGTCAAAATAGATGTTTTTGACACACATTTTATAGTGATTTTTGTAATGTTTTCTGTACTGCTGCAGAAGATGAAACAGCGTTTCTTAGTAAGTGGTCGTGTATTGACCACAATTTTATATTCGCGTGAAAATAATGACATTTGGAAGCAATAAGCATGAACAAAGTTAAGGAAGGTTTGGAGAGACATGCATGGCTCTTAGAGGTGCTTGACCCTGTGACCAGCACTTCAGAAATATAGACAAAATATTCTGGATGCTGTATGCAAAATGATACGAGAAACGCAATGAACAGCCGTCTATCTTAGTACGTTTGCGGAAGGCTGACTTCAAAAATTTGCAACTGTTGGCAAACACCTCTGAACACCAGTAAACTACACAAAACTAAAGTATCTCAAATTCGTGTCACCTGCTACATTCTTAAAAAGGAATAATCGAAATAAATAGTGTGTACAACGATTTAGTCTCGTGGGACAATGTAACAAGAATAAAGGGTGTTGATATATCTTCCCTGACATTCGCCGCACAATTTAAAAACAAAATGGCCAAAGAAGAAGAAAATGACCTATATATATATATTACGCAGGGCGGGCGACCAGGACCCGAGGGGTTAAAAGCCTAGGGTAGGCCCGTACCCCATCCCTAAAAGGTCCGGGAACTGGTCGGCTCACGAGTCCTGCATAAACCTTTTGGACCTATTCACAAACCCCAGGTTTGTGGACCATTTTATCCCGGGGAGTGTTTTGGTTATGTCCTCTCCTTCGAAAGTATCAAATGGCGAAATGATGAAGAAAATGAACTAAAGTTTAATATATACCTGAAACGGCTTTTATAACGATTTAATTTGCAAATAGGATGTTGGGGATGGCAAGAGAAAAAATTATTTAGAGTACTAAGAAGACCATGACACAGTGTTCCTACTTAGACTGTTCGCCAAGCTTTCATGGTACTTCGATTGTTCTGTTCAACTTCAACTTCAAAACGTTAAAAAAATAATTAAAATTTAAAAAACCACCAGTGATTTGATTATGCCAGTTAATACATGTTTTCAGTGTGTTTGTAAAATACACAGCAATTAATAGAGTAAACTTTTAACTACTAATGTGTTATATTCAATTCATTGAAGTTTTGGCACTTATGCTAGATTGTTTCGTGTTTCAACTTTTCAATTAGTTTTACCTAAAATTCAATATAAACAAAGAATGTCTATTATAATAAGAGCTAGAGGGGCGTCGGTGGCCGCAACGGTTTAGGTGTTGACACGGCGCTCATCTTTATAAAGTAAAGGTCCCGGGTTCAAATCCAGCGGCCCTAAAACACCGGCACCCCGAGGGTTGATATAACCTCTGCTGTTGAGAACCCTCGTAAAAAAATAATAATACAATCGGAAACAATTTATTATATATTATATTTCAATTTATAAAATATTTATAAGAACTGCTGATATATGGAAACACATAAAACCAAAGATAACTAAACTGCATAAACAAATGTAAAAACACAAGGAGAGGGATAAGTATGAATTGATTTTAAATTACTCTGAGAGGGAAGAAAAATTGACCACCCTCGTTTGTTTACGGAAATACGTGCAATTGTTACAATATTTATTTTTTATTGGTTACTGAATATTTTTAATGAACAATATAAAATATAGCTATATAAAAAATTAAATAAAAAAATTCAACTGAGTAAAATAATTTTCCCAAAGATGCTGCAATGAAAAAATTGAAGGAAATATTCAATTCAGTACAGGGTATTTCCTCCTCTTGCTTTGTTCACCTCTTGCATGAGACGAGGCATCGATTTTATTGTAGAGTTATGGAATATTTTCAAACTCCTCCAACAGAGCCATTCTTAATTCCTGCAAAATCTCTGGCATCACTGGGCGACCTTTTGACATCTCGTCTCAAATTGATAGTTGCGTTTTAAGTCTGGACTGGCCACTCCAAACGTTGAATTGACGCCCGTTCAAGTCACCAACTTCATGCATACAAATAAATCCATCGTCAATTAGTGGTATATAAGGAACACCTTCTTTTAATACAGCTTCAATGTGTATCGCGCAGCTGTTAGGGGACACTCGATGAATATCAAGTTTGGGCGACTTCCATAGAGCTGCGTGCCCAAACCATTACACCACCACCATAGCTTCTCCAGAGTGAAAAGGTTGCAGGGATATATCGTTATCTTGTTCTTTTCCAAACCATCTTTCGGCTATCAGAAGACCTCAAACAAACCTTAACTCATCCGAAAATGAGATAGTCCAATCTTGCTCAGACCAATTGACGTGATTTCTGCCGAAACTTAACCGAGCTGTGCCTTGTGACAAGTTCTTGACCAGTGATAGGCCTTCTCGACGTAATCCAGTTTCTGAAAGTCTTCGCCTTACAGTGCATTAACAGACATTAACATTGTTGAAGTCATTGCTTGATCTCAACAGCAGTAGAATGTCGCTTACGGGGTACATTCGAAACAATAAAGCCACCATCCCTCTAAGATGACACAATGGCAATCTGACTTATGCCTACTTGAGTAACCTCCAGTATATTGGTAGCGATGAAAAACCCTTCGGACAGTTGTTCGGAGAATGTTAAGCACCCTGGTCACATACGCTTGCTTTTTCCTATTTTAACAATTTTGATTATAGCTGTATCACTTAAAACCGCCACCCAAACAAATTTGCAACTTAAAAATGATACAACTTCAAATAATTAAACAACGGAAATGTTAGCAAGAAGCTTTACAGGAAAAAAACAACAACGAGTAGACTGACGATTCGAAGATTTATTTACAAAATCCAATTTTAAAACAAATGGAAGATTTTATCAGTTTTATTTACCACTAATCTTTCAAAAGTTGAAAGAGAATCAATGAAAGATTATCTAAGAGATAATTAAAAATATAAAGGTGGTCACTATTTTTGCCCATCAGTTGAAAATATTAGTATTAAAAGGAAGTGACTACTAAATTGCTTCATATTTAAAAAAAAATACAGATTTAAGTGACTCGTATTTGCCAGGCTAGCAGTCCTAGGCTCGAATCTACGCAGCAAAGAAATATTTGGCATCAATTTGTAAAAAAATATTGTAACGTGATTTCCTTCCTTATGAAAGGAATCACAGTTTTGAGATATATTTAAAAAGAAAGTCATATAGCTCTTACCTTACCAACAATTCCCCAGTTTCTTAACCTCCATTCTATCTGCACTCCCTCTAATTACATTTAGTTGGTGTGCTTTCGGTATCGCTTGACAATTAAAAAGCGGTTTTCGACAGTATCGGCACGCCCTAGCGTCCAAATCACAGAAACCTTTGTTCCTGGAGAAATAACATTAACAATTTTCACAAGGAAAAAACATAAAATTCATTTTAGTAAACACTTTAAAATTCCAGTTTTGAGGAATACTAATATATCATTTAAGATAGATAGATGCGTGCACGAAGACAAATCAAACCAAATTTCATGTTTCATTGGGAATTAATGCCATTACTAAGGCATGAAGTTCACTCGAACAGAAGTTGGTCAATAAAATTTAAATTGGCAGACCTAAATTATGGGTAACGAGCAAATTACATATATATTTTATTTGTACCTTAATTTTGTAGCAATTGAGAATT